ACGATTTAGTTGGTTGTTCTTTGAATCGGGTACTTCGGGTTTGTTGTAAAGGGAATTCACCCATTCGTGGGGGTCACCCAAGATTAAAGACAAATCCACGTTATGCTGCATCAGCTTCAATTTGCGACGCGTTCAGACTGCAAACAAGTTTGTAGCTTCAACTTCCCGGACAAACATGGGACCCCCCAAAAACACATGTCTAGAGGAGCAAAAGGCTAAGGATCCATCCGGCCACATAGTCTGGATACAGGTACACTTGAAGGGTTCTAGTTCTAACACTTGCTGGTGCGATGGGTAGGGAATGAGGGAATGAACCGTTTTGGGATTCCCTTAAAGGAAACCATAGGGGATGGCTTGTAGGGTCATTCCTCCATTTCCTGCTGAGCACCAGCAAGAACAAAGCGGTTCCAGCTTGCAAGGACTGTCATCTGTGACATCCGAGAGGAACCGATCTGGTACAACCCATCCAGGGTCACCCAAGAATGTGCGATTCTTGTGGAGGTTGTGCCCGGCACTGAGGCGATGACAAAGCCTCCATCTGAAAGGCTCAGGTAGTGCGTCATGTGCTGATGGCGACCTATTTGCAATGGCAACTGCCTTGGGAGTTCATATCTAACATTTGTCAACTGCAATACTAAGGTGTGCTTGCAAGGTATCCACCACCTACTTCTGTCGGTACCATGGTAGAAGCTTTGGGCAGCCAACGTGCTCAAAACTCGAATGGCAGCAGCAAAGCAAAAAGCGGCTGTTGCAAACACACCAAGCAAGCACCCCGTCTTATCTATCTCTGAAGTTCGAACCCACATGAAACTTGAAAGCATAATCCAATCCAGAACAAGTCTGAAAAGCAAAAAATGGTAGACTTCCTATCCAGAAAATCCAGAAAACAAGACTGTGCACATCGGATTGCCCCGATATACAGTGGTTGTTCAAAATTCCTTTGTCTGGAAACGGCCATTGACTACTTTCGCGAATCTTTCGCGGATTCGTCCGTGCGCTTTAAACTGCTAAAGTCAGAAAGTCGCAACTTCTCTCAGTACTTATGCAAAATGCACTTTTGCAGCTCTGGCTGGAAAGTCGCTACAATGACAAGTGTAGTACACAAAATGCGCGTCCGCAGCTCCAGCTGGCAAGTCGAAACTGCTCAGTACCATGATAGCCAGCTGGAAGTCACGACCAGCTCGGCGCTCAGAGAGTACCTCCCCTTGCACTCGAAACCCGCGTTTTCGTGGATCTTTCGTGGAAGTTTCGCGAAAAATCGCCCACGTTTCACATCGCAGAGCCACCGACTAAGTACACACACACACACATTCTTGGAGCACTAACCAGCCAAGCAGGGTATCAAACTGTGACCTCACCAGGCTTTATCCCCTGACGAGCAAGCCGCAAAAGCAGCAAAGAGTTTTATCAGCTATAGAAGGAAGGCTCAACAGAAAAGATACACTGCTTTCACATGTCACTAATTTACAAGATACAGTTATGCAACACTTTCACAAAGACCACAATTACTTTCGCAACTCCATCGCGAATCTTTCGCGGAGGCACCTCAACCAACACCGATGGTCACCAAATACTAAACTCCTTACAGGGTCCTTGAGAACGACTCCCATATTCAAAGCATTCCTAATGACGTACTGCATATATCAGTCTAGCATCAAAGCGGGCCGGCATTTGAGAACATCTGGGTGCTGACTTCTTGCAGACAGGGGCCAAGGGTGGCCAAGTCAGGACTTCTCTGGCGATATTTACAATAGTTGCAACACCCGGGCCTGACATGTGCATCGGACTTCCTTCAGGATCAAACCGGTGAGCTCGCCAGGGGCTCACCCATAATTCCATTGGCCACTGGTCATCTCCTTCAACCCGGTGCATGTCCTTCAACCTTCGGGTTTAGGCGGATTGAGGAAAGCCACTTGGACACTTCCACAAAGCAACTGATGCAGAAGCCTTGAAGCATGCGATTCGTATTCGTAGTGAAACATGTGTTATTTGCCACCTAACACGGCAAATTGCGTAGCATGCGCAACTCTTACGATGTTGAGTATGGCTCCAGCAAGCATAAAATGGCAAGCGAGTGTTTCTGGCACCAGGTCACCAGGCAATTGGATTTCCAAGTCCACTGCCGTTGTGCTAATAGAAAAGAAGATACTCCTGTGTTGCTTCGGGCATTCTGTTTTACAATTCGAATGCCGGACACGCGCCTTCGGACACGATCTTTCTCAAGGACGCCAGCTGCTCGGCACCTCGGGTCCAAAATTGATTGAGGACCACCTCTTTGAGGAAAACCGGCCAACAGCTGGTTTGGCCAACCAGCAGAATCGATTGTTCAGCTAAACATTGAGGGAACGAGCATAGGGGTGCGTAATGTTAGTCCCTTCAATCCGTATGAAGCCCCCACCAAGGCGTGGCACGCAACCAGCTGATAGCAGAATCATCGAACAGTCCCGCCAAGAGTGGTAAACTGCGGTCTTCCCAACAGGTGGGAAGGGTGCCATTCTGCCTGGCACTCACATTTGTATGAAGCGATTTTCTGCAGATGATGGATTACGCTTCCCACACAAAGGTGTATAGTCAAACAAATATGGGAATGACATTGGGTTTAGCCTTCCAAACGCATGACCCTCGAGAAGTAGCAAGGCTGCAACACCATGTCGTGTTCACAACCCACACTACCTACTCACAAATGGGTTTATCTTTTTTGGATGTGGCAAACCCCCCCCCCACTACAGAGGCTTTGGACAACCTTAAGCACGACTCTTAGTGACTTCGCCCAATGCCATGGCCCACGGTGACGGCCTGACGGCAACCTGGCTTGGTTTTTTTTAGACCACCCTCCCTCCAACTAAAGTTCATTGTTGCTCCCTGGGTAAAGCTGAAACTTCAAGTGGGATAAGTCACGCATTCCACACACCTATTTTTTTTGAAGGTGGAAGCCGGCAAGAAACATGTACACCCATTTTGTGTGGGGCGTCTACGAAAGTTGCACAGGAGCCGAGAGATCTGCTCCTGGGTTCCTCGCGTTGCTCGGCTGCCTGGCAGGCTTGCCGGCACGCCCGGGTTGTAGACCCAGGAAATATCCTTCCAGTTTGACTAGAAATTGATAGCCAATGTTCAGGCACTTCAAGCATGGTCGTTGTTGTGGAATGCCTGCACGCACACATAGTGAATTGGTCCTGCCATTAGAAAAATGATGAGCTCATCTGAGGGTGTGTGTGTGCTATGAACAACGGTTGATTGCTACTCACATATGAAATGCAGCTATGTGTATGTGTGTGTGTGTGTACGTGTAATGTGTGCACGCCACATCACGTGCCCTGTTGACAATGCTATGTTGGCTCCCAAACCACCGTACTAAAGATCAATACTTCACTAGCGGCATCAGGCGCTTGACAATGAGAATTGGAAATGCAGGTTGGTTCCTCCCCTCAGTCTGTTAGATCTTTTCGCGTGAGGATTTTATAACAAGCCCCACCAAAAGTAGAGGCTTGGGCAGACCACTAAGCTCTGGCATGGTGTGTACTTTCCAGTCGCCAGACAGACGCTGAGCGGAGCTGGACGCTCCACCCCCGCCACAAAAAGCTTAACTGCCGGACTTTTTGCTGTTCAGCAAAGAAAAACATCTTTCCCAATAACTTAAAGTCCAAAGATCCAATCAAATAGCAGCCAAGCTATCATCGACCTTTATTCAACCTGCCAGTTGCTTGACTCAAACACATGGTCCAATCTTTTGACCAGGTTTTCCAGACGCGTGGCCGTGGAAACAAACAAAAACAATGGACGCCAATAACATAAGTACTAGAAGGGCCTAAATTGTTAGAATGAGGCGGGGGAGACCAATTCAACCAAGTTCACTCATGATGGGAGAAGCATGTTTGTAATTATTTCGCTGCGTGCTGTTCTGTGTCACGGAACACCAAAAGATGTAAGTGCGAGAAACACTGCAGCTGCAGCAGCGGGGTGCTGCGCCAAAAGTAATCCGATTTCGCTGCAACGGGAAATCATATCCAACTTCACGACGCCCCCACACTCAATGCGCGTGTCACACTTTGGGGCCTGTCCGAAATTCGATGACTCCTTCGGATATCTCCTGCCCTTGGGATGGTTCCCCTTGCGATAATTGAAAACATATTTCTCTGAGCTTAAACAAACACACATATATATATATATATATTTATAGGGTGCGGATTTATTTTGGCAATGTTTATTTCGCTTAGCCCGTCAACATCCCCGGCATCGTTTTCATGTCCCACCAACATCCCCAGCATCACCAGCAAATCGTTGGCAACGAAACAAAAAGTAGCGGGCGTGTTGACGGGGTCGAAAAAGGTGATGATTCAAGTAGGGCTGCAATCAAATCTCTGTAAATAACTCTAAAAAGTAGCGAACCGTAAAAAGTAGCGGGGGGTTGAAGGGGGGCCAGCCCCCCATGATGTTCGAAGAAGCGCTGATTCAAATAGGGTGATATTAAACCTCTGTAAAAAGACTCTACAAAGTAGCGAAATCTAAAAAGTAGGGGGTTGGGGGGGGGGGGCGGCAGCCCCCCCCCATGATGTTCAAAAAAGTGTTGATTCAACTATGGTGCAATGATTCAAGAGGGTGCGATAGAATATAAAAAGCAGCGGGGGGGGGGGGGTTGGGGGGGGGTTGGGGGGGGGCTTCTCCTATGATGTTCGAAGAAGTGCATACAACAGACATACATACATAGACTACATAGACTACATAGATTACATACATACATGCAAACATACATAAACATAAATATAAAGAAAACTTGCCAGAGAGGAACTGGTGATGCCGAGGATGCTGGAAGCCAAACCAATGAAAGGGTGCAAAAGCCAAAAAGCCGCGGAAAGGACTGAATGCAAAGGATTCGAAAAGCCAAAGCCACCAAAAGCCGCATAAACCAACAAGAATCGAAAAGCCAAGAAGCCAAGAAGCCGAGAAGCCAAGAAGCAAACAAAAAGCCAAGAAGCCAAGAAGCCAAAAGCGAAACAAAATCACCAAAAATCCCCAAAAAGAACGAACAAAATACTCCTCCATATTTCTATATATACACACCCTTCCTCCCACTAACAAAGCACCTGTGGGCGGGTACATGAATTATCAATGTCCTCTTCAACAAACCCCCTGTCAGGCGCTATGTTAGTGGGAGGGACGGTGTGTCATTTTCGTTTGCATTCCTCTTGGTTGCCCGAGAAAACCAAAACTCGCTGGGGCTGGGCTCGGTGGCGCTGGTCTATACATTGACCTCCGCCCGATTTCTTTGCGGTACCGTTGAGGTTAGTCTCAAAGGTGGCCATACGGGGTTTGCCTTGTCTTTTGAAGAGTACCCCTTTTGGTGGGTTTTACAGCGACGCCAAGAGGAAACCAACTGTTCTGGAGAGAGAGAGACACCCATATTTTGAGACACGCAAATCTGTTTGAATCTCTGAACCCCACTGGGCAGCGCGGCACCGGCGTTTTACAGCAATCGGAGAAGGCACGACTGGGTTGTGAAAATTAAGCCGAAACCAGTGATAAACTTTGTTATCCCTATTTTGATTATTTGGTCACTCTAAGGGGGGTTCAACCTTGTCACAAAAGCTGATACCATTTCTCATAACCAAGGTAACTTTGCTCACATCTGGGACTATTCCCAAGGCCAAAAACAAGTAGCCAGCCCATGAAGCCCAACAAAAAGACTCCCAGCCATCAATAGCATGAATGACATGTACCTCAGAATGGGGTCAGCCACATCCAAATTCCATGCCAGCTTTCTGGGCGACCCTTCCAGCTCCACGTTTTGAGCTCAGCGAATCCGCGGCGCCTCTCGCTGGGTCTGGAGATTCTCCAAGCGCTCCCCGAGGTTACGTACCAGGTCCGGTCCCTGACGCCGATGAGCAGAATCAATGCGTTTCCACGGGACCAGACCTCCAGTGGATGTGAATGACAATAAGGTATCACTCTGCTTCTTTTATTTGGTGGGCAGTTGATTGGAACTGAGCAAAAGGGCACTGGGGGGCTATTGTTACAAGTCCCAACCTCTTCTTTGACCACTGCAAAAGGAGGAGACTGCAATGCCAGTTGTTGAATGGGGGGACTCTGTTTTTTGTTCTTCTTTTTTATACTTCCCTGTTTTGTGAGCTTCATTGTACCTTTTGGCCAACAAAACCGGTGGGTCGAAACAACAAAATTCGGGTCCCGGTCCGTTTTGGCAGAGGTAACTCCAAGCTTCCAGGTTCCCTCTAGCATTGAAGTGCACGGGATACATTTCTTAAGGAAGCCTTCGAAAACCCCTTTGGACACTTGCATCGTTGGAAAGAGGGTGACTGGGAGGAAAAACTTGTACTTCCCCTGGTGTTGTGTTTAAGTGGAAATGCTCTCTGCTTTCCCTGTGTTCGACCAAATCAGGACTGGTTTGGTCAACATGTGGGATCCCGGTCCCGACACAAGAAGGGACGCCGCGAACCATTCCCATCTTGTCGCGGATGATTGATGAAACAACCAACATATGTATGTATATATATAATGCGTATACATATATATGCAGCATATAGGCATATATACGTATACGTATACATGCGTATATATATATAGAGATTTGTTTGTGGGTTTGTGGAAGGGTAGCGCCGCTGGATGAACCTGATAGGCGAGTGCATGACTTGTAACGGAGAAGTTGAGAAGTGCGTCCAAATGGCTGACATCATGGAGCGCACCCCAAGGGGAAAATGCCACTAGCCACATGGGTGTATCTTTTTTGGCGGACCTCCAGAATGCTGGCGTTCCTTTTGGTTCCCCTTAAACCAACCCCCTGCCCTCAAAAAAAGACAGACCCATGTGTGTGGTCAAACCCTAAACGGGTCATGTCATAGCCAAACTTTATGGTTGCTCAAGTTTCCTAATGAGGTTTGACCAAGGCACAGGGTACTCTTGGGCGGGGGAGGGGCTTGGACATACTGGACACAATCTTAGAGATAAGCAACAGGGGGTCTGCCTATGCGGCATCGTTGAGGGGTCGTCTGTCTGGAGTCTAGGGGGTCTAGATCTAGGGGGTCTATCAAAAATGGGCTGGAAGCTCTTGTCCAGATATGTTGGATATTTGCCCTTCTTCCCCCTAACATACCATTTGTGGGAGGGTACCTATAAGATCATCATAAAGGGACCCTCTGTCAGGTTCCATCTTAGTGGCCGGGAGGGAAGATACAAAACAAGCAGATTCTCGTTGACTGAAGCAACAAGACCGAAACCTGCAGCGACGCAAGCTGCGGCTCAAAGCGCAATGAGCCATGGCCCCATGATGGCCCTAGGTTACACATGGACACCTGAAAGGTTTTCCCCTTTTCCCCGAAAGAAATACCCTTGAACATGGAAGAGACAACATTGGGGAGTTCTACCAAACAAAAGTGCCGGACAGTACTTTTCGGGCTCGCATTTTTCAATCCAGACTTGGTCGCACCCTTGCAGTTGGTGCCCTTTTGAGTTGTTTGTTTCAAAGGAAAACTAAAGGAAGCCCACAAGACTCAGTTGGACACGTCCGCGCAACTGGGCCTCAGCAACTGCCTGACGCCTTCCGCAGCGATCACAGTAGGAGGCGTCTGAGGTGAGAGCCTCGAGGCAAGCGTCTTTGGACCACGCCGCGTGTTGGACCCCTTGCCGCCTGTTAAAGGGGATGCCACAAGGACACCTAATTTTGACAAACACGCATGTGTGTGTGCGCGTGTTTTTTGTTTTGTTTTTTAATTAAGGGTACGCTTCTTGTTGGCGCTTCAAAGGACAACCAGAAGGAAAACCACCATTTTGAGGGGGTCACGTAAACACCCGACACACCCGTATGGTGTTAAAAAGAGCACCAAAAGGAAAGTATCACGCTGGATATGCCGATTCAAGGGTTGCTCCGGCAAAATACAAACATGGTCACTGAATGGAAACCAAAGGACACGAATGGTCTACCTGTGTACCCTTGCGTACCCTGCTTTGTTCTAGAAGCTCGGAACAACCCGGATGAGCAACGGCTTTATTGTTGAAATCGGACACAGGGGCCAACATGGATTCCCTGCAACCCATATCGAAATCAATCCAAACAATACCACTCTAACCGGCTTCAGTGCACTTAAAGACTTCTTGGTTAAAAGTGGGAGAGTGCCTATACAGTATATCTCTAAAAGAAATCCAGATAAGTCGCCCAGAATAGATCACCCTCGAAGGAAGAGCAGGACCCTGCACTTGGGGTCCCGATGTGCAACATTGGAGAATGAACACCATTTCCAACAAATGTCAACTCAAGAAAGGAAACCAAAAGATCAAAAACAAGAAAAAGGGGCACCTCAAGCTGCGGCAAGCCAGGCCAGGGTTCAGCAATACCACGTACTGTACTGTCTGGCTGATCCCTGAAGAGTCTTTTCACTTCGAGGATCTGTCATAAGTCCAACTCTACAACCACACAAATCGCTGAAGTGCTAGTGGCCGTGCACAACCGTGCACCCTGTTTTTGATGATTTGCAGGCTGTGCGTTTCTTTATGGATCCCTTTTTCACCGGGGAACGAGGAAAACCTGCATTTTGGGAGGTCCCCCTTGACACATACCCGTTCAGAGAACCCTCCCAACTTGGCAGAAAGGAGGCCTGAAATTCTGGGGTAGGAGGCTCACTGGACTTCGGCCCCGGCACAGTTGCAGGCCAGGCAGGCAAACTGGCATCGCTCGCTCGTTTCGACCGGTCGGTCGACTTTTCCCACTTTTGTGACGCTGATGGACGAATCTTGCACAAGTTGGGAGGGATGAGACCCTATGAACGCTGGCTGATAAACTGATAAACCACGCTGGTGCGAAGTTCATTTTCTCCATCCACAAGATGGGAAGATCTTCTCAATGATGAACTCTCAGTAGCTTGAACGCTGAATTCGTGCTTTGTCAAAGCTAGGCCAGTCGTGGCTTGATCGCCCCTCTCGTTTAACGTCAACAAACGGGGTCCCCGAACTTAGCAATCACAGAAGCCTTGCCAAACCCAGGCTTAGAGGGCTTGAGCCGATTGATGGTAGCTTTGGGTTGATTGTTCTTGAGGGTCAAGGTCTTCCCTGAGCCGGTTCAGGGTCCACGTGTGTTGGGGGGTCCTGGGTTTGTCTTTCAGTCCTACCATCTCCAAGTCCTTGGTTTGACCATACACAAACAACGACTTGCTGGTGCGATAGGCAGGGAATGAGGGAATGACTCTTATAAACCTAGGTCCTCCAGTAGTAGAGAGGATAGAATAAGGGTACCCTTTTTTCTGTAGTCTATTTTACTAGGGGAACCCTCCCAAAAAAGGGGCAAGAAAGGGCACCTAGCTGGGGGACCTAGAAACCATCCCACAAGTGGTGTCCTTGGGGACCAAGGCCTGGGTTCATTCCCACATGGCCATGGGTCAAAAGCCCGTACTAGTGAACATCCCAATTGCCAATCCCCACCAAAATAGACTAAAATGGGTGGTGCACCCATTGGTTTTGACCCACAGATGAAGCTCCACGGTGTCCCTTGCCAGCCCCGCCTGCGGGCCAGGTGAGCGTTGCCTCGCATAGGTTCGGAGCATCTAACAGCTGCTAATTGGACCAATGCGGATTCGCACCGTTCAGAAACCCGGAATGATGGGATTCCCGGGTGAATACCAACAGACAATGGTTTCCCATGGACCCTGCAAAATAGCATCCTTGCTCGTGGTTCAACCTTGATTTTGTTTGAAGCCGTGAATAGCAAAGGGATGCAAGTAAGCACGGAAAAGCCTCATATACCAAGGGCTGCAATGTGACACTGGTCAGCACAACGGCAAGCGAAAGACTCACACACACACACACACACATGCACTTCTGGCAAACATCGAAGTCAGCATGAAGCAACAACTAAAGAGCAACAAAACATCAACTTCAACTGAATTCAGTGCGCGGTGTAGTGAACCATGATCAAGCAATTCCAATTGAAACGCTAAGAGCAAGCAGCCGGAAATTCCTTGCCTCTCGTCTGCCACAGACTTCTCCATATCGGTGACCACCCCTGCAGGGACGCCAAGACTCACAACGTTCTTGGCAACATGACCATCAGCTCCTGATAAGCGACTTTGGGCATGCAAAGCCGCATCCAAAAAGAGCTCCACTTTTGGAGAACCCTCCAATATGGTATATCTCCTCTCGGTGTGTGTATGTGTTTGTGTGCATGTCGCCAACTAGCCCTGTGTTTTTAGGGCCCAAACCTCCAGTGGCCATTGCATATTGCTGCTAGTTGATTTTGCCAGCTGGCTTCACATGCTACTCTGTCTTTCAACGAAACCCCTCCCAAAAACACGAGTTGAGGACCCTCAGCGGTGGAGGACTGGGGGTTATCAACCTGGCTGCCTTAACTCGGCGACCTTCGCTCTTCGCTGCTTTTGGTATCCTGCATGCAGTGCCCGAGTTGATTTTGTTCGCATGAAAGCCAAAAGGAACATATATGTGCTGGGGCTTGCCAACACATTTTGAGACAAACCCATTTATGTGCAGCTAGGATCAGCTAGGCAGCAAATCCAGCGAATTCCTCTCAACATAAGCCTACACAACAGAAATCAAGACAGCGCAGGCGAACTCACCTGGCCTTGAGTTGAGGTCGAACTGTGATAAGCTTGAACAGCTTCAGTGTTTTCGCCGCGCTCTCATGGCTAATAACTGCATGGTAGTGACAACAAAGTGGGCCATCCCTGACTATATCATGGTCAAGTCTTTTGAGGGCATTCCCTTGGCATCACAGGAATGGCAACCTCAAACCCAATTGTTCGCGATTCTGGGCAGATTCCAATGACTCCAAAAAAGGATATACTGAATCCCCAAGTAACGGGGATTTCATCATGAACTTGCTTTACCCCCATGCTCATTGTAACTTGCCCAAATGAATGCCCGTGTTCAGCGCCATGCGGTCGCTTGGAAACTGGCACTTGCTCGCGCCCAGCCTACGGCTTGGCAACCGAATTCGTTCACAGACAGAGAAACACCTGCACTGAAGGAATGTGGGTGTTGACGCGGTTTAGTTCCAAACACCCAAGAAGCCGCAGCACGTCTTCAGGATGCTGATGTGGTAGCAACTAGACAAAAACAAGGCTACACACACCGAGCAATCAACCAGTCAATGCATCGGTCAGTCATTCAATCAGCCAACCGATCAGTCAATCAATCACTACATGCATGAATAAAAACAATAATAAACATGAATGACAAAGAACAACGCAGGAACGATCGAACAAACAAACGAGCGAACAAGTGACTCAACTCGGCCGACGAGTGCAAGAACCAATCTTAAAACCAGCAAACCTACAAACAAACAAGCAAACAAGCAAACAAGCAAAAACACAATGAATGAATGAATGAATGAATGAAATGAAATGAAATGAAATGAAATGAACATGAAATGAAATGAAATGAAACGCAATGCAATGAAATGAAAGGAAATGAAAGAAAATGAAATGAATTGAAATGAATGAATGAATGAATGAATGAATGCATGAATGAATGAATGAATGAATGAATGAATGAATGAATCAGTCAGTGAATGAGTGAATGAATGAATGAATGAATGAATGAATGAATGAATGAATGAATGAATGAATGAATGAATCAATGAATGAAATGAAATGAAATGAAATGAAATGAAATGAAATGAAATGAAATGAAATGAAATGAAATGAAATGAAATGAAATGCAATGCAATGAAATGAAAGGAAATGAAAGGAAATGAATTGAAATGAATTGAAATGAATTGAAATGAATGAATGAATGCATGAATGAATGAATGAATGAATGAATGAATGAATGAATGAATGAATGAATGTGAATGAATGAATGAATGAATGAATGAATGAATGAATGAATGAATGAATGAATGAATGAATGAATGAATGAATGAATGAATGAATGAATGAATGAATGAATGAATCAGTGAATGAATGAATGAATGAATGAATGAATGAATGAATGAATGAATGAATGAATGAATGAATGAATGAATGAATGAATGAACCAATGAATCAGAATGAATGAATGAAGGAAGGAAGGAAGGAAGGACTGCATGAATGAATGAATGAATGAATGAATGAATGAACGAACGAATGAATGAATGAATGAATGAATGAATGAGTCAAAGAATGAATGAATCCGCAGACCCCATGCCTGGTCTAGAATGGACCATGCTTTTGGCATGGGGGCGGGGTGTTCTGTGTTGCTTTGGTTGATATATATGTTTTCAATAAGTTTAATGTGAATAGACTTATGTATATATATGTGTGTTTCTTGGGGGCGGGAAGGTCCTTGGGGCGGGAAAATACGCCGGCTGGATTTCTGGATCTCTGGATCTCTGGATGTCTGGATGTCTGGTTTTCTGGATCTTCCGGCCGTGGTCTTCTTCCCGTAATCTTCCGTAGTCTTCCGGCTTCTTCCCGTAATCCTCCGTAGTCTTTCCGCCTCCGTCGTCTTTCGGCTTCTTCCCGTAGTCTTCCGTAGTCGTCCGGCTTCTTCCCGTAATCTTCCGTAGTCTTCCGGCTTCTTCCCGTAATCTTCCGTGGTCTTCCGGCTTCTTCCCTTTGGGCTTCTTCCCGTTGTCTTCCGTAATCGTCCGGCTTCTTCCCGTAATCTTCCGTAGTCTTCCGGCTTCTTCATGTAATCTTCCGTAGTCTTCCGGCTTCTTCCCGTAGTCTTCCGAAGTCTTCCGGCTTCTTCCCGTAATCTTCCGTAATCTTCCGGCTTCTTCCCGTAGTCTTCCGTAGTCTTCCGGCTTCTTCCCCTAGTCTTCCAATAGTGTTTAGGGACCAAACGACGCGCGTTAGGACTTTTTCGCCGCAAAACGGGCTAAATCGCGCGTCCTTTGCTTTCGGGCTTCTTCCCTAGGCTTCGGGTAGTCTTCCCCCCCCCTAAAAAATACAGAAAGGGGATTTGAAGGAACTGAAAATCATTTCTGTATTTTTTCTATCAACCAATGAAAAACACATTGAAAAACCAAGTATCAAATAATAGATAAGGATAATAAATCACAACCTTATTCATTCTAAGAAATTCCTAGAAAAGATGCACACCTTAGCCATTTTTTTCACTACTTAACCTATTTCATTTTACTATTTGTTTACCCTTAGTCATTTTGTATGTTAAGTCTTTTTCCAATTCTCAGAAACTCCAGTTATTCTTCATTTTTTCTTTTTACCTTATTCATTGTTCGCGTTTTTTTCACTCAGACTTAAAAATATGACTAAAACACATTTCACCTAATAGTTCCACAAAACCAAACAGTCAAAGCACATAACCAAATCAAGAAAAATTAAAATATTTCAATCTTTACAAACCATAAGTTTAGTATAATTAAAACATAAAATATTTTACATGTTATAATTATATTATGATTAAGATTTGTTTTAAGTGTTCCAGCTCATAGTATTGATGCCTACTTCATTCCACCACCTTTCTATTTTGGTTGACCATCCTAATATAGTTTCTTTGTCAATATGTTTATTTTTTTTATTTGTTTCATACTTGTATCGAATAATTGATTGAAGAATTAAACGTTTGCTTTCATAAAAATAAATTTCATTTGATCAGAGTTGTTAGGACCAGTTATTTCTATTTTGTTTAGTTCTATTCCATATTCTATAACCTTACTTTCATCATTGAGTTCATCATACATGTTGTTTAGAATTTCTCGATGATATAGTCTCATCATCAGTTCAACCGGTATTCCTGTTTGTTTCATTTGTTCAATTACTTTGGTCATTTCTTCTGCTGATGGATAAGGATTTATACGGATAAACCTTTTTACTTCTTCACTCTCTGTTTTCCTTTGTTCTATTAATTTATTTATTTTATCTTCGGTTAAACCATAGACGCCTTCCATTCTTACTATAATATATTAAGTCTTTATTCCTTTAAGTCATTTTACATTATGATTATAACATATAAGGGTATAAATGTTATTATTATAGTATGATTAATAATTATAGCACCACATTTCACACGCCATGTTAATCCAAAAACAAGCTATGTTAATCCAAAAAACAAGCTATGTTAATCCAAAAAACAAGCTATGTTAATCCAAAAACAAGCTATGTTAATCCAAAAACAAGCTATGTTAATCCAAAAAACAAGCTATGTTAATCCTTAATCTGTCAAACTCACTAAGATTTCACAAATTAATTCGCTAGGTATTTTATATAAATCTTCCTGTTTATGTATTGTTGGATTGTCTCCCCAATTTTCCTTGGTGCCCGATGGTAGCCGTTGTGCTGTTTCAATATGTTTATTATTCCTGATGTTGCCACAATCCTTTTTACATAATTCTCTAGGTTTCCAAGTTGTAATGTTATTCCAAAGCCTAGTTCTCTTTCTGTAAGGCATTCCATATTTACAGTAATCTACATCTTTAAAATCAAACTCATCCATAAACTCCTGATGTTTTAATAATCCAGTTTGTGGATTTTCGATTACAAAATATTTAGGATTGAAATATTTGATAATCTCAATAGTTTTTAAGACAATACTATTTGCATATTCGATATTCCTAATTCCCCTAGTTTTTGCTACACTGTATTCAGTGCATGGGGACTACTCCAAATAAAATCAAAATGGTTTCTGTCAAACTGTTTGTAATCCCACTCCAAAATATCAGTGTTGATATCAGCATTTTTCAAGTCTAATGATATTACATTAAATCCAAGCGACTTTGCTATGGTTCCGACGCTTTTTGTTCCGCTAAATAATTCTAATAAATTCATTTATTAGAATTATTTAGATAATTATTCAAATATTACATATACTCCATCATCATTCTAATGTTTGTTGCTTTGGTTGTTTGATTTTTCCTGTATTCAACATATCACAGTATTTCTTTTGCTTTGTAGGGTAGTCGCCCGTTGGTCTTCCTATAGATTTTGCTTGAAATATTTTGTCAATCTTCTCCTTCTCTTCGTTGCTTTGTTGTTCGCGTTCAACTGGTTTCATGCTGTCATCAATGGATTTAATTATATCATTTAAGGTTTTAATATTTTTTAC